GCAGGCCGGGCAGCGCCAGCCCGTCCTCCTCGCCCGCGTAGGTGAGCGGGTTGTGGCCCAGCTCGAGACGGGCCAGGCCGCGGGCCTGGGACAGGGCGGGCCCTGGCAGGGCCTGGAGCTCATTGTGGTGCAGGCTGAGCCGGCGCAGGGCGGGCAGGCCGGCCAGGGCCTCGGGGGCCAGCACGCTGAGCGCGTTGTGGGACAGCTGCAGCCAGCGGGCGCGCAGCAGCCCCTGGAAGGCCATGGCGGGCAGGTAGACCAGGGCGTTGTGGGCCAGGTTCAGCGTGGCCAGCGCGCCCAGCGCCCCGAACGTCCCCGGCCGCAGCTCCTCCAGCATGTTCCGCTCCAGCTCCAGCCGCCGCAGCGAGCCCAGCCCGTCCAGCGCTTCCTGGGGCAGCGCGCTCAGGCGGTTGGAGCCCAGGTTGAGGAGGAGCAGGCGGCCCAGGCCACGGAAGGCGCCTTCGGCCACCAGCTCCACCTGGCAGTGCCGCAGGTCCAGGTGCGTGAGGTAAGGCAGCTCTTGGAAGGCAGCTGGAGGGATCACCTTCAGCATGTTGCCCTGGAGGTCCAGCCGCTGGGTCAGCTGGGGACGGGGAGGGGAAGATGAGGCTGAGCACATAGGGACCCACCTCTACAGGTGCTGCTCCCTCACCCGAAGCAGCCTCTCTCCTGTCACCTGTCCCTGTGTCTCTTCATCCTGCTCCCTTACACCTCCTTTAGGGAGACTTCCCCCAGTTACCTGGGCATCTCCCAGGGTGGCCCTTTTCACTCTCTTGTCATGGCATCTTTTCTTTCTCTCTCTCCTACTAGTTTTGTTTTTTGTTTGTTTTTTGAGTCGGAGTCTCACTCTGTTGTCCTGGTTGGAGTGCAGTGGCACGCTCATGGCCACCGCAGCCTTGACCTGGGCTCAGGTGATCCTTCTGCCTCAGCCTTCCACGTAGCTGGAACTAAGGCATTTGCCACTATGCCAGCTTATTTATTTATTTATTTATTTATTTATTTATATATTTAGTGTAGAGATGAGATCTTACCATGTTGCCCAGACTGGTCTTGAACAATCCTCTCGTCTTGGTCTCCCAAAGTGCTGGGATTACAGGCATGAGCCACCACTCCTGGCTCCTACTAGCTTATGACTCCTCAGGGCAGGGACCATATCTTTTTTTTTTTTTTGAATTGGAGTCTCACCCTGCCACCCAGACTGGAGTGCAGTGGCCGCTCCCGGCCACCGCAGCCTCAACCTGCTGGGCTCCAGGGATCCTTCCGCCTCAGCCTTCCAAGTAGCCGGAATTACAGGCATGCGCTACCACGCCCGACTGATTTTTTGATTTATTGTAGAGATGAGGTCTCGCTGCCCCGGCGGGTCTCGAACCCGCGGGCTCAGGCAATTCACTCACCTCAGCCTCCCAAAGGCGTGGGATTACAGGCTGAGCCACCAAGCCCGGCTAGGGACCATATCTTACTCGGCTATCGCATCCCCAGTTCTCTGCCAGTATTTATCTATAGACTACCTGCTTATTCCACAAGTAAGGATTTTACCTATCCATCTATCTATCTACTTTGAGTAAGAGTCTCACTCTGTTGCCCAGGCTGGAGTGCAGTAGCACATTCACAGTCACTGCAGCCTCCACCTGCTGGACCCAGGCGATCCTTCTACCTCACCCTTCCAAGTAGCTGGAACTACAGGCATGTGCCACCATGCCTGGCTTATTTATTTATTTATTCACTCATTCATTCATTCATTCATTCATTTTAGAGACGAGGTCTCCCCAAGTTGCCCAGACTGGTCTCAGGCAACCTTCTCGCCTCCGCCTCCCAAAGTGCTGGGATTATTGGAACGAGTCACCATGCCCAGCCAAAGTAAGGATTTTAAGTAGATTATCTCCCTTGTTATTGGTTATTATTATTCCCATTTTACAGACATGTAGACTGAGACTCTGAGAAGTAACTTGCCAAAGTCTCCAGGCAAGTACCCAGACCGGGCTCTTTCCACTGCCATCCCACCTTGCCCCCCTGCTACCCTGTGCCTATGCTCTCACCCCGCTCACCTCAGGGATGGTGTTTGGTACCTCAGTGAGGTTCTGGTGCCGGCAGGCAACATGCCGCTTGGAGTTGTCACAGATGCAGGTCTGTGGGCAGCGCTGGGCAGCTCCCTGCCAAGCTGGGCCTAGGAGCAGTAGGAGAAGCAGCAACAACACCAAGGAGACGTGTGTGGAGTTCTGGGGCCTGGGAGAGGGAGGCAGAGTTGGTTGTCCATGGGCAGGGGCCACATGCTGTCCCTTACTGAGTCCCAGCCATGGTGCAGCTCCTATCCTCAGAACCTTCCTTCTTTGGGCCCAGGAAAATATCATCTCCCAGAGCCTCATTGCCGCCCAACCCCCAACCTCCCTGCAGTGGAGGTTGTATTATCAGTCCTGTTTCACACTGGAAGAAACCAAGGCTCAGAAAAGTGACCTGGTGTGTCCCTTTGGCTCCCTGTCCAGTAGCTCAGTGAGAACTTAGTAAATGGGAGAATGATTCTAGAGTTCAGAGCATGAATCCAGGCTTTGGTGAGGTTCCGGTCCAGAGGGAGGCTCAGAAGCAGCCTGTGGTGCCTACTCCCAGGTGGCAGGAAGCATAATGGTGCCCACCTTGAGAAGACAGCCTGGCAGCAGGAGAGAAAGACCCAGGCTCGACACGAGTTGCAAGCGGGCCCAGGCTCTGAGGTCCTTGAGTGACCCTTAATGTTTGGTCAGAGCCATGCTGACACGGTGGGTAAGCAGCTCAGTCCTCTTCTCTGTGTTTGTTTCCCTTTTATCTTCTCTTCACCTTCGTACCCACAGCTAATCTGGACTGGGATTGGGAAATTTGAGGTTATGGGTTTTGGGCTGTGCTTTGGGGAAGGTGTATCTATTCACCAGTCTACCTATCTACTCATCCACCCATTCATCTACCCATCCACCACTTATCCATGCACCCATCCACCATCCATCCAGCCACCCACCCATCCATCCATCCACTCCCCCATCCATCCACCCATCCATTCACCCATTCACCACCCATCCACCCCTCCACCTACTCACCCATCTACCATCCATCCATCGCTCACCCATCCATCCCCCCATTCACTTACCCATCCACCACCCATTGACCCACCCCTCCACCATCCATCCATCCATCCAGTCACTCACCCATTCACCACCCACCCATCCATTCACTTACCCATCCACAACCCATTCATCCACCCATCCGTCCAGCCCCCCAAATTCATCTACCTGTCCAACTGCCAGTCACACTCCTTCAGTTCAACTGCAGCCACTGCTGCTACCATGGCTCTACCTCACTCCCCACCCAGCAACCAAAGGGAACTTTCCAGAACACAGATGGGACCCTGACACTACCAGCTGAAAACCACTGCCACCTGTCTAGTATCTCTTCACTGCCTTTGGTGGAATGTGCTGACTTCTGATTCCTCAACTGGAATCTGCTTAAATTCCTCAGTGTCACCCTCGGTGCCCCCACCACAAGCACATGTGTAACAGCTGTGCTAGCACTACACAACCCAGAGCTTCTCCTCACTGCCTGTCGCCACACTCACCCAGCTCATCTTTCTGTTCTCAGCCTGTGTCACACAAGGCCTCTGAGCAGCCTTTCCTGATCCCTGGACTGGTCCCCCATCCCCTGTGCCTCCCCACTCTGCTCACTGGATTGTCACTGTCTGTTTTTGAGTCTCTGGGTCCTAGGGTCTAGCCCCTGCCTTGGAATGTGTGGCTTTCTTCAGAGCCTGTGGTGAGGGCTATGGCTCAGGGCAGGCCAGGGAGGGGACTCATGGGGACAGATCCCTGAACGGACAAGCATCCAAGGATCAGAGAGCTGCTGTTGGGCTCTCAGGCAAGCCCTGAAGCACTAATCCACAGGAACAGCCACATTCCCATATGACTTCCCCAGAATCCACCTTGGGAGACCCTTGAAGATTCTCAGACCCAGGAAGTATCCAGAGTCACTGCCTGCCAGCCTCTCAGAGGCCCAGAGTGGGGCAGGAGTTTGCCTGAGGCCACTTAATTGCTCTAAACTGTCCTTGCAGCTTTGGGGCTCAAAGACTTACCCTTCCATGCTGCCTGGAACTGCCAGTCCAGCCAGGAGGCACAGCGCAGGGAAAGGCCGGTCCTGTCTGCTGGTGGGTGGGAGCTCCCCTCCCCAGCCCGCAGGCCTGGCAGCTGGGACAAGGCTGAATGGGAGGCATTGTCAGCAGCCCAGACGAGCCAGGACTTCCTCAGGCTGAGGTGAAGGAGGGGAGGGCAGGGGTGGGAGCAGTGGCTGGAGTTACAGGGCCTCGCCCCAAACAGCCCAGGATCGCTGCCCAGGCCTGACCAACAGGGAGGGGCTGCAAGGAACTGGCCTGGGAGTCAGCAGCAGTGGGCTCCCTCCCTGCTCTGGGGGACCTTGATGGGGTAGCCCTCATCAAGCCTCAGTTTCCTAGTCTCTAAACGACACATGGTAATAACTAGCTCTAGGGTCACTGAAGGGGGTTGAGTAGGCCCCTGGCACATAGCAGGTACTCAAGAACAGTTAACGCTTTCTTTTCTGTTTGTCCCCATATACTTACATATACTGTTTGATACTATACATACAGTATTCTGGAAATTCACTTTTTTTTACTCAACATCAGATTATTGGGAGTTATCCAAGTTGATTTTTCTGAGTTGTGTTCATTTTGACTGTCGTATAGTATTCCATTGTATAAATGTATCAAATTGACTTATCTGTTCAACTTGGACATTTCAGTTCCAATTTTTTACTATTACAGTGTTGCAGAGACTATCCAAATTCATATCTTCCTAGGCATATCTGCATTTAAAAAATAAAATAGTATATCCAGACCATAACCAATATTTATGTATCCTATGAATTTTCAGATCCATGTTTATGATGGAATTGCATCTTTTTCTGTTTTCTTTCTTTTTTTGAGTCAGTTTCTTGTTCTGTTGCCCAAGCTAGAGTGCAGTGGTGTGATCATAGCTCACTGTAGACTTGAACTCCAGCCTCAAGTGATCCTCCTGCCTCAGCCTCCTAAGTAGCTGTGACTACAGGTGTGTGCCACCATGCTTAGCTAATTTATTATTATTATTATTGAGTCGGAGTCTCACTGTTGCCCAGGCTGGAGTGTAGTGGCATGCTACTGCAGCCTAAACCTACTGGGCTCAGGTGATCCTTCCACCTCAGCCTTTCAAGTAGGTGGAACTACAGACACGTGCGACCACATCCGGCTAATTTTTTGATTTATTGTAGAGACAAGGTCTCACCAAGTTGCCCAGGCTGGTCATGAACCCCTGAGCTCAGGCAATCTTCTCGCCTCCACCTCCCAAAGTGCTGGGATTACAGGTGTGAGCCATCGTACCTGGCTGATTCATTTATTCATTTTTTTTTTTGAGTCGGAGTCTCACTCTGTCACCCAGACTGGAGTGCAGTGGCTGCTCCCGACTACTGCAGCCTCGACCTGCTGGGCTCCGGGTTCCTTCTGCCTCAGCCTTCCGAGTAGCTGGAATTACAGGCTACCACACCCAGCTGACTTTTTGATTTATTATAGAGATGAGGTTTAGCCAAGTTGCCCAGGCGGGTCTCGAACCCATGGGCTCAGGCAATCTTCCCATCTTGGCCTCTCAAAGCACGGGATTACAGGCTGAGCCACCGAACCCGGCAGATTCATTCATTTCTTATTTGTAGATTTTTGTTTTGTTTTGTTTTTTTAGAGTCTCACTCTGTTACCCAGGCTGGAGTGCAATGGCACTTTCACAGCCGCCACAGACTCGACCTACTGGGCTCAGGTGATCCTTCCGCCTCAGCCTTCCAAGTAGCTGGAACTACAGGTGCACACTACCATACCTGGCTAATTTTTTATTAATTGTAGAGACAAGGTCTAGCCAAGTTGCCCAGGCTGGTCTCGAACCCCTGAGCTCAGGCAATCCTCTCGCCTCAGTCTCTCAAACTGCTGGAATTACAGACTTGAGCCACTGCGCCCGTCCTTGGCTCACTTTTCTGTCGAGTTGTCTCTTATTTGTAGGACTTCTTTGTATCTGGATATGAATCTTATATACACATATAGTATTTATAGCAATTATTTTCTTCCTGTGAATTGCATTTGTATTCCCTTCATGATGTCTTTTGATAAACAGATACCTGATCTCATTGCTACAGTTTCCATTGTATGAATATAGCACAATAATGGCAAACAAAGGCAGTTAAATATAGCTTTTTTTTTTTTGAGTTGGAATCTCACTATGTTACCCAGGCTGGAGGACAGTGGCATGCTCACGGCCACCTCAGCCTCGACCTGCTGGGCTCCGGCAATCCTTCCACCTCAGCCTTCCAAGTAGCCAGAACTACAGGTGCGTGCTACCACACCTGGCTACTTTTTGATTTATTGTAGAGACAAGGTCTCGCCAAGTTGCCCAGGTGGGTCTCGAACCCACGAGCTCAGGCGATCCTCTGGCTTTGGCCTCCCAAAGTGCTGGGATTATGGGTTGAGCCATTGAGCCCAGCCAAATATAGCCTAATTTATGTATCTTTTCCTTACTCCCAAGGCCTTGAAGATATACTACCTTCTATAATTTTGCCTTTAAATTTTTTCTTTTTTTGAGTTGGAGTCCCACTCTGTTGCCCAGGCTGGAGTGCAGTGGCATGCTCACAGCCACTGCAGCCTTGACCCTGCTGGGCTCAGGCGATCCTCCCACCTCAGCCTTCTAAGTAGTCGCAACTATAGGCATGTGCTACTACGCCCAACTAATTTTTTTTTTTTTTTTTTG